ATAACGCCGTCTTAGAGAGGAGGTAGTGCAGGATGAGACCGGGGGGCCCCCGTTTTATTCACACAAGTGAACAATATAAGTCTAAGTATTATATACAACAAAAATTGTGGATGTAAATCCAACAGCGAGTAAGCGTCCAGGAGAGTAATTTTGTTTATGGTTTAAGGAATAGTCAATCATCATTTTCCTTATATGCTTGCTGCTCATTGTAATGAGGGCTTGAGCTATCCAAGGTGACTAACTAGGTTCAATAATAGTCTCTTCTAGCTTATGACCTGTTTCAGCTTAATAGCTTTTCTAACATAGAGGAGAGAAGCATGAATAAAACTGTTGCTATGAGTTCTGAGGAGGCGAAAGTAGACCAATTATGCCACATTCCTTGCAATTGACCTCTCGAGCAGGACAATAGACCTTGAGAGAATCAAGGTCCTATCACAAAAATAACATATTCCATTCACCGGTTTAGTAACAGTTACTGTTGCTGAAAGAAGTTCTTGAGACTGGGTTAATAATACCATAGGAAGAATTCTTTGAATGTATTCAGACAGAAATAGATAATGCGCAAAGCGAACCAATTGTCGTCGGAGACTTAAACGACGAGTTGGAAGAGATTCCCACTTGTGGCTGGATATTTTAGGGTCGCACGGAGAAGACGTCAAGAACGATAATGGGGAAAGAATACTCCGATTGTGTGCTAGCAATGGTATGATCGTCGCTAATAGCAAATTCCCTCATAAAAATGATCACAAATTTACGAGTGAGGAACCGAGTAGAAACGAAAAGTCTGTAATGAGTCTGACTATTTTCTTGTAAAGAAACAATCTCTCAAAGATGTGATAGACATGGGAGTTAAAAGAGGATTTGAAATAGGAAGCGACCATTACTTGTTAAAAATGGATCTGGTATGGAAAGGGGAGAGAAGAAACAGAAAGCTTGCAAGAAGGACTCAAATAGAAGTGGTTAAGGCGCATAGGCTAAGAAAAGATAAAATTGCTACCTACTACCAGGAAGAAATTGAGAGAATGGTCAAAGATTTGGACTATCAGTGGGATTCGGATGACATAGAAACAAGCTGGTTCTATTTTAAGAAAATAGTTATGGACGCAGTAGCATTGGTTTGTGGTATAAAAAGAATTGAAGGCCGATACAACAGAACAGCATAATGGTCAGATGAGGTTAACAAGGCAATGGGAGAAAAAAGGAAAGTCTGGAAAGAATACCTCGAGCACAAAACACCGGAGAACTTTGAAAAGTACAAGTGGAAAAGGTTGAGGCTAAAAATAAAGGTATAGAGGCCAAGAGGAGAACCTGGCAGATTTTAGGCGAAAATTGGAATCAGATTTCTACCAAAATCAAAAGCTTTTTTACCGAGTCCTCTAGAGATTAAGAAAGGAAAGAGCGCCAACCCTCAAATTTGTCAAAGACAAGGAAGGAAACATTCTCAGGCAGTAGGATGATATAATGGAAAGGTGGATGGAATACTTCCAAGATCTGTTGAATGGAAATGGACAGGTACCCTGTGTAGATGAAGAGAGAAAAGAGGTAGATCCTTGGGAAGAAGACGACTTTATTGGCGATGACGAACTGGAAAAAGCAATCTGGAGTATGAAGCTAGGGAAATCCGCAGGTAGTGATGGTTTAACTCCTGGAATGCTGAAATACATTGGGCCGAAACTAAAAGAAATCTTGCTGCATCTGCTAAACTTAGAGTGGAAGCAGAAGAAAATACCGAAAGATTGGGAAGTGGCCATAATCTTCCCTATCTTTAAGAAAGGAGATAACAGAGATTGCAACAATCACTGAGGCATATCTCTATTAAGCGTACCAAATATGATTTACTCTATGATCTTAGAAAAGAGAATAAGGATAAGAATCGAAGGATTACTTGAAGAAGAACAACACGGCTTTCAGGAAAACCATAGCACCCAGGATCTTATCTTTACCATGAGACAAGTTTTCGAAAAATTATCGGAGAAAGAAAAGGAAATGTCGGTGAGCTTTGCTGATCTTACATTAGCCTTCGATCGGGCGAGAAAGTCTGATATCTTGGAGGCCTTGAGAGAAAAAGGGATTGATAAAGGTCATGTCCTTGCGGTTGAGACTCTCTACAAGAAACATAGTAAGATTTGCCAACTACACTTCACAGGAAATCAAAACAACAATTGGAATCCGGCAAGGTTGTAGTCTTAGTCCACTTTTTTTTATACTAGTGATGAACTCCGCAATACGAAGCGCTAAAGGAAAAATGCGGAAATTTCACCGAAGATATGCCGACCTGAGTGAGCCTCTCAATACTTGCATTCGCTGATGACGTTGTTATTTTTTCGGGCAATGACAGGAATCTTCAGTACAATATTAATAAATTAAATGAAGAATTTCGGAAGATTAATATGATTATTTACCCTATAAAAACAAAAGTAATAAGGGTTGGGAAGAAACCTAGAAGAAATAATCTCGTCATCAGAGTCGAAGACAAAATCCTCGAGCAAGTAGAAAACTTCAAATGCCTGGGCGCACAGCTTAATGAAAATGGGTACATCGATTTAAAGGTAACTGAGCGAATCGCTGCTGCAAGTAGGATGTTTGAAGCAGTTGAGAAAGGTTTTCTGAACAGGCGTGAGGTGGAAAAGAAAACATAGGTGGCTCTTTTCAGATCGAAATTTTTTCCCATTTTAACGTACTCTTCAGAATCATGGACACTGACAAAGAAACATCGATCAAGGATACAGGCGTCAGAAACGCGATTCCTCTGAAAGATTGAGGGGAAAACGAGAAGAGACAGAGTACACAACACCACCATCAGGTCTAACCTCAAATTAAGCCGGCCAATGATGTGATAAAAGAGAATCGATTGAGATGGCTGGAACATCTTTTGCAGATGGACATGAACAGAACAGCTATCGAAGCCTATCGAGCTAAAGTAGAGGGCAAGAGAGGAAGAGGCCGGTCTAGAAGAAAATGGGAAGATGAGGTGAAGAGCGACTTCCAGAGAAGAGCTCTTCAATGGAATGAAAGAAGGCGTCTTGTGAAAAACCGGCAGAGCTGGAGAAGGCTCTATAAACTTTCTCCTCACACCGCTTAATGCGGGTAAAGAGTATGGATTATGATGATGACGATTGGCCAGAAAGCTTCAGAACGCAATTTTAACTCATCCTTTTTCGAGAGCATATACGTGATTATAACAGAGAAATCAGTAGGAGGACTCTGTTTGTCATCCAGTATATCTTGATAACTAATGGCCAACAATTCATACAAGCATCTAAATCGTTTAATCCAATATTTTTGGACTCCATCTGGACGAGGTGTTCTCCAGTTTTTTATTTTTCTAACAGCTTCCTTGGGTTGTAATTGTCACCTCTTGCATCTCAGAAGCATATTGAAAATGGGAAATTTCTTCCGTTTTCCAAGGAGCGTTCTCTTCGTGATTCGTTCATTTTTCCAGTACGTTTCAATGTCTTCGGGGTAATTATTCAGTGTTTTAACCTTTTGTTCATGGTTCCTATAAAACTGGCGTTCATTTTGTTGGAACAGGTGATTCTGTTGGCTCCGTAGAGCTGCTTTACTATATCTACGCAATCTGCTTGCAAAAACTGCTAGTTTTTGTTTTAGGGTATCCAGATACAACGTCAGTCTATCAGTCAACTCATTTTCCATAATTGTATCCAAGTTTTGCACAATGATGTCATCTATCTTTTTCTTTGTCTTAGCTCTCTTTGTAGATTACGAATATTATTATTATTATCTAATAAGAAACTAAACCTTCTCAATCAAGGCTTTATTATGCAAAAACATTACACTAAAGCTTGTGAAATGTTAAAATAATCTTTGTATTAATAATCAAAGTTAAGATGTGGTAATAGGCTATTTGTAATGCAATAGATTTATCACGACAATAGCTTATTGGAAATAACCAGCCGTCAAACTCTTTTATTTGCAAGGAAAGTGGTTCTTGTCATTGACTTCGTCCAAGAAATACAGCCCCTATTGATGTTTTAACAGCTCTCTCTATGACATGTGAGGACATGAAGAGGTTTTTGCTCGTCTTGGAAGAATTCTCGAGACAATTTTATCTCCCGAAAATATACATGGGCAACTACAGCTCTCACGGTCCTACTTAGTATTCCTTGAGAACTGTATTGGCTTAGTATACCTGGTATATACTCAACCCTATAGGAGTTGAGAGATATATAATCTATATTTTAATATTTATTTTGAGGAAAATAAAAAAAATTCAAATTTAAGAAGTTGTAGTCCTTAAAACTTCGACCAAACTTAAAATACAATTTTAACTGTATGTATTCTATCACGTTTAATATATTATTTATATAATATATAATTTCAAAATATTATGTTCAAGTGAATTTGAAGAACTATATTGTCTTATATTTTGCAATTGAATTAAATATTAACAAATTTTCTAAAGCATATAGGTAAAAACGATAACTACTTTTGTTATTAAAATATTTAATCCTTTTTAATTTATTGTATTAATTTTAAGCGGATGATTCGCAGTGTACGGTTTGTTTTTAAAGAATCATTTTCTGAGTAAATGTTGATTCTTATTACTATCGATAAGACTATTAAACTTTTTTACAGAACGGTTGACAGCATGCTCGAGTATATCTCGGAAGCCACGCCACAGTATAAGAGGTTCTAGAAATCGTTTAGAAGTTTGTATTTTTTATATTAATCGAATCGGCTATTAGAAAGGTTTATAATTTATTTTTTTAAGTCAATGGTTACTAGCTTAAAGATTTTTGAAGTATTAAATCTAGTGTCAACATTTTGTTTCATGGTTATCACCTAAATATTTTAAGTGCTTAATACAATATCAGTTTCTTATTATTCTTAATTTGTTTGATAAGTTTTGTTGAATTTAAAGTGATTGACTCAAATGATTTATCTGTGTAGTGATTGACGTTTATATATATATATTTTTAAGTTCAATGGTACATTGAATTTTTTATATTCAATAGTTAATTTTATTGTAGACCTTCATTATGGCAGTAAATGTATACTCTACAAACGTAACTACTGAAAATTTAAGCAGGCATGATATGCTAAATTGGGTTAATGATTGTTTGCAAGCTAATCTTGGAAAAATAGAGGAACTATGTACTGGTGCAGCTTATTGCCAGTATATGGATATGTTGTTTCCAGGTAATACTACTGTTTTTTTTCCTCTCTTTTATTTACTATAAGTTATGTTTTTGTTTTTTTTACCTAACTTATATTTATATTAGGCAGATTTGAATTGTTACTTGGATTTGATTCAGTGGTATCCTACATATTCAATTTCTTATTAATTACTCATGCGTTCAACATGACTTTCTTATTACTGTAGTAGTTTAATATAATGCTATTAATGCCATTGATCTTTTTCATCAATGCCATTAAATTTGGATACACATATCATTTATAATAACTATTTACTGATGAAATAAGTCTGAGCTAGCTTCAACAGCAATTCTGTTAGTCGTGACATTGTAGTATAGAATAATGGAAATGTTGGTTAAGGTGAAGCTGTTTGCAACTTTATCTTATTAATTATTAAGTATATCCACTAAAATGGGATAATACAAGTAATAACTTGCTGTATTTTAGTTATTGCTCCAAACTAGTTTTTTGTTTCATGTTCTATTCTATATTTTTGGGCTAGTGCTTATTTCATGAAAATGATTCAGTGATACATCAATATTTTGGTTTTTAATGTACAGATGTTTACTGTTTTTCTTATTGATAATTGTTATAATCAACCATCTAAGGGCAGATTTGATTAAAGTCTATTTTGAATTCTATCAATTGAAGTCAATGTTAAAAAGCATGTGATGTTTCGTTAGTAAGAGAAAAGAAGAATCTTTATTAGTTGTTATCTATTGTTTTTACGCTGTTGTTATTTTGATTTTTTTTCTTTCTTTTTTTGAGATGTATGTGTTTTATAAAAGTGTTAGATTATTATGTATACATCAGAGTGTGTGTTTGCATGAAATAATTAATTAGCCATCCTTTCTTAGACTGTCATCACATTCCTGGAATGATTCATCTCATAGATAGATTAGATTTTCATGAAATAATATTACTTCCTGGTATTAATACTGCACTCAAAATTGGATAAAATCTTTGTAAACAATTATAAATTAGCAAGAAACTATGTATTTTAATGACTTAGGAAGTAAAACGTAACATAAAAAATATTGATACATACATTTGGCATCAAAGATTTCGCCAAGAAGGATCTAAATTTTTACTGATATTTGCATTTAGATAGTAAGCATAATTTCGTTTTCTGTTAGTTAAGTCTATATCTACCAACTTACAATTTTAGTACTTGATATTTCAAAATGATTATTTGTTATTACATTACACTAATGCAATTAAACTTTATATTGAGTAAAAACTAATGAATCATTAGAGTTCAGTTATGATTCATGAAAAGTGGTCCATTAGGTAATATGCTGCTATAAGTCTTGGAGTTGAAGCTGGATGGAAGTAGTAAAATTACAAAATTACCAGAGATAACTACTTTAGATGAAGCTTAATTTAACTTTTTTGTTTCAAGGAAATACTTTTCAAGGTACAAGTTGAGAACTTTGAACACATATAATGCAGAAAAAGCTGTGTCTTTATCTATAGAAAATGACCTGTGTCTTTATCTTTCATTATTATGGATTAGTTCCTCATTATCTGTGTAACATATTTTTTAGGGTGAGTAAAATTAAATAAAATTGAAATGTCAGTAATTATTTTGGTATGACGTTTAGTGAATGCTAACCTCTCTTTATTCAGTGACATTAAACTGTAGAGTATTGTACTTTTTTTAATGTTGTATTTTTAAGGATTTGTTTGGTTGATCGAAGGTTTTTTCATTGTTCTTTTTTTTATTTTTTTTTTATATGATGGGACCATGGTTAATTTGTTATGACAATAGATTATAACTTTTTTGGAAATTGGATTTCTCTGAAACAAGTTAATATATTTTTGATGTTAAAGAAAATTTGGTGCTGTCTTAGGTTGTTTAGAAATTTGGTTTATTATGAAATTTAATGGCCATCATCAGTTATGTAAGGTCAGTGCTTGTAATAAAAATTCAATTGTAGGAACTTTGACCCAAAGCTGATTATTTGTCTTCAAGAAAAATTATCCTATAATGTTAGTGATGGGGGTAAGTACTTAACACTTTCTTCTTCCCTGTATCATACACTGAGAAAGTAAAGGTGATACAAGGTTAGGTTATGGTGTTGTTAAGTTAGAAAATCTGTTAAATTTGAGTGTGTTTTTTATAATCGGTATGGTTGTTATTTACTTGATATTTGTCATCTGTAATGTTTAATTATTTACTAGCGTTACAAATTTCAGTTTGTAGCATATAGCAGATTTATATTTGATTTTTCTAGGAAAGTATAAATATTAGACAATTTACTGTTCCTGTTTTTTGACATTTTGAAATAATGAATTTTGAATGATTAACAGCAACTAATATTAACAATTTATTGATTTTGTTATCAATTAGTTGCAATTAAAATTATTATTTTAAAATATAATCCTTACTTGAGGCTATGTTTTTACAAATATAAGTATAATTGATATTTGAGTAAACAATATTACCTTATCATCTGATAGCCCAGTAATCTTGTACATCGTTCGTAAGTTGCATTGAATGGGGGTGCAAGGTTTATTTTTATTTATTTTTTGTATGGGATATGACTCTGATGCTAAATCCAAGCTTTTGACCTCTGTGTCTCCCCGGATTACTTGTTTTATTTTTTCTCTTTTGGCTTTAAGACATGTAAAAGCAAGTCCTATTTTGCCAGTAAAATATTTTAATTGTCATAGTAAGATGAAATTACTCTGGATATTTATTCATTTCTTTTGGATATTTATTAATTACTGGATGTTTATTAATTACCGGATTACTTTTGGATATCCCAAAAACTGCTATATTTTTGTACTTTTTTTGTTTTTTCCCCCATTTTATCAGTGTGGCAGTGAAAAGTGATCTTCCCATCTCCCATCAAACCTCCACTCCTCCCTCACCCCTACTTTAAAATGTTAAAATTAATAAAAATTTACTTCACTGAATCATATAAGACAGGTTATTGAAGATATAAAGACAATTGCATATGATCAAACATGAAAAATAAAATTTGAAAATCTGTATCTCATAAACTGTTTGATTTACTAAGCCTGTTCTGATCTTAAATTGTAGCATATTTAATCTAGTTTAAAACTGTGTAGAATGGTTTTTGTCGAAATCGTGCTCCTTTATGATCAAAATAGTGAAAAACACGAAAATATAGTTGTTTTGGTTGTTTTAAAAAGTGATCCGGAGGGAGGGGGGGCCGTGGTCAAAAACTTGGATTTTGCATCTCAGGCACATCACGTACAAAAAAAAAAATTATCCCCATTCGATGCAACCTATACTCCCCTTTTCAAGCAAGGTTACTGAGCTATGAGCCTTTTCTTAAAGAATTTATTAATACTAGAATCACTAAAGCTAATTTACAGACTAACTGGACTATTAACTCTCTTATTGGCTGTATAAGAATGACTAACTCTTTGTATGGAACTACTTTTCTTATTTAGTAGTATACTAAGCCTGGAAATCAACTTTTGATGTCCAAAACCATTATAATATTAAATTTAAACTAATTTGATTAAACTTGTGTATTCAAACATATGTATTCATTTAAATGTAAATGATACAAATAATTAATTTTCAAAAAATTCTGCTTAACCTCAATTAACTAAACTTAGAGAAAAGTCTATAAAAATCACAAAATATTAAGAGGATTTGTTAATATTATTAATAATATATATTTAAAAAAATAACACATACCCATGGAGGATCTAGGGATCAGTCTTAACATAATCAATTTTAACAATATGACTTTGGTCTACCCCTCGGACAATTGCCAGTCGGCATAGCACATATTAACTTTTTAGAAATCCTTTCATTACTTATCTCAGCAACTTTACATGCCCATTTTATTCGCTTCAATGTATCAATTTCAATTATATTAATGAGGTACAGTTCGCAAAATTCAGCAGTATATAACCGCCTTAATTCTCCGGTTGGTGTATCCTTCTTCGTCCGAATTTTCTACGCAATACTTATTTTCAAAAATCTTAAGACGTTGCTTATCTCTTAATGTAAGTGGAGCCGTTTCATATCCATAAAGAATTATAGCAAGAATAATGACTTTTTAAATTCTTATTTTAAGTTTCTGGACATCTGTGAGCTAAGTATTTTCGCAACTAAAAAATAGCAACAGTCCGGGAGCCTGTAGCAATAAAAGTACTTATTTCATTCATACTAAGGTTCCTCCTTATAAATTGACCATATTCACAGAAAAATGCAAGTCTGTCAGCATGTAGTTGCTGGAATATAAAATAGTGGCCAGGTGAAGATAAATAGAGACCCTGTATATTTATATACAACTTATGTATGGGGAGAGCCTGTAGATATAAAAAGCTACCAACCTTTTAAATTTATTATGTTTAATTGTCTTGGGACATGATATAACAGTTTGTTACCATTTCATTTCAAGTTGAAAATTTGAATTAATGCCTCAAAAAGCTCACTTTTCTAGTTTTCGCTTATATCAGTAAAACTATGCATTCTAGCGATAATAATGTTCTATGTAAAATTAAAGCTAACAAAATTTGCAACACAAATGGTTTTATTCATATTTTCGCTATCTTCTTTAGTTTTTGAGATATTCATCCTCGTAATTCACTAACTTCAAAAAATAAAAAAATAATTTTTACCTTGCATTTTTAACATTATTTGACTCGCTAACTCTTTATCTTTTCATTTTACGAATAAGTCATTAGGAAGAAAGTTGTTTAACATCAAATTTTCTTTAAGAATTAAACCATTCAAAAGCTAGAGCATTTATAACTTTATGTTTAACCTCCGAAACTATGCAAAGAAACTTATGCCAGAACTTGTTAGTTATAAATCTAATGAAAATTATACTGGTATAAGCCAATAGGCTTGTGGATCGGCTGGATAAGTCTGGTTCAATTATCTTTGAATGAATTCTAGATCCCCAATCGAACTACTGCTGCATATGGATATCAGGATGTGTTGTGTGGCTTGTATCTTTACTGCTTCTACTGGGCCACTCCTTTCACATTAGGTCTAGCTAGACATGATATATTTTATGGTGACACTAATATAACCCATATTTTCTTGTTCCACACATTGAACTAAGTCCCTGTGGTTCGGATTAATTTTGCTGTGTTCCTCATATCGAGAGGTAGCACTGTCTACACCATGCCAAGAGGTGCACTGCTGTCGTGTTAATTCTGATGCACTTCAAAACTATTATTAATCATGGACTAATCAATAAATTTTAATTTAGTAATTTTATAATGCTAATTTATTTTTAAGTCTTTACCTAGAAATTTAAATTGTCTCCTATTTATTATAGAATTGTTTTTCTATATATATATTTTTTTTTTTTTTGCTTATCCATTTATACATTTTTAATAAATGCTTTTGATTTATTTTGTTTGTTCTCCAAGAAACTTGAAACATTGATTTTTACTTTCTTTTTTCAGGTTCCATTATAGTAAAAAGAATTAAATTTAGGACAAATTTGGAGCATGAATATATTCAAAACTTCAAACTTTTACAAGCTGCATTTAAAAAAGTTGGCGTTGATAAGGTAATGATAAATTATATGCAGTTTTATTGTTATTTTAATAATATTATTTTTGTGTTAAAAAATTTAGTTTCTTTTTTGTTTACATGAATCGTTCATTTATTTAAACACATAAATATAGATAGTAGAGAGGTTGTCTGGTTGATTGATTTCACTTGTGTTGAATTTCTTTCGATGAATTGCCTCAGTTCACATTGTTCTTCCCCATGTAATTTAAAAATAGTGAACTTTCATGTTTGTGGTTTTTTTAATTAAAGCGCTCGAGAGTTTGTTATTTCATCCAATTTATCCTTTTTCAAGAGCGCAGGCCTTGCTTTTATGTAGAGAATGATGGCATCTCTACGAGCCATATCTTATCTTTTGTTCTGGTAGGCCATTTTTCCTATTTAGGTCTAATTGGCAGTAGTCAGCTGTGATCACTGTTCTTTGATCGTGAAGAAAATAAACAGTAAAGTTTGCCTAGCATGGGGGAGGGGGAGATCATTGCAAGAATTTTTCCAGCTGATGAGTTTCTGCCTTCATTAAGTTGCCTTTATCCTTCTTTCCCCGCCATTTTGAACTCAGGAGTGTAATGCTGGACCCTTGACTCTCATATGATGATATGCTTCAAAACAAACCTGCTCTTAGTAAACTCAATTCAGAAGTCTCTCAGTGATCTCCAATCTGATCTGTTTTTGATTTTCATTCATCAATGTCATAGCTCATCTATCACTAACTTTTAAGAAGCCAAGATGAGTGATAATAGATGGTGCCTTTTCATAGCTGATAACCACTTATTTTGAGATTTCTTTAACAGTTAACCAGCATTGCTGTTTGATAAGCTCTTGAACAGCACTAATATTGTCATCTGTTAGACTTGCCCTTGGGTATTGAATTTGATTTTAGTTTTACTTTTTTTCTACCATCTTTCAATTCTCTGGTCAACATAAGTTTTATTCTGGGACAGTGTAGTGTCCTCAAATTGTGCTTTCAAACGAGTAAACATTTCTGAGAGTTTAGCTCCATCACTGGTTAAAAACTTTGTGACTATGCATTGAAATAAAGACAAATGTACTTCCTGCTTGGTCATGGTTGCATGGAACAGAGTATGGCCGCTAAACCCACCCCTTATAAACCAAAAATCAATCTCCACTCCATCATCTGCCTCGTAATTGCATGCCAAGTTAAACAGAAAATTACTGAATTTATTTTATTCATCCTCGAATATCTCCATTATTATAAAATATCAAAAATTATAATTGTTATTGATATGATAGTATAAAGTATCTTATATAATGAAATGAATAGTGATAATTAATTTACTGCTAAAGCAAATAGGTAAAGATATTGATTTTGAAGAAATCTGAAATTAAAAAATTTAGAAGTTGGTATAAAATATGGGTATTTATAAGTGGTTTTTATCATAACAATTTGGGAAGAAATATTTTACTATCTCATCTGCTTTTTGTAAATAGTGCTAGAACATCCCTGCATTTGTTGATTGTGTCCTTTATTTTTTTTATATCAGTTGATGTTGCTATCTTTTTTGCTTAGGACTCGAGGATTTTCTTCAAATAGCCTAGCCACCTCTTCTTTCTTTTGTTGCTTTAATTGTTTCAGTTACCTTTTTCAAAATGCGTTATTTCCAACTCGCTCTATAACTAAATTTCTAGATTTATGTTTGATATCTTTTTTTAATCTTAAGATAAAGATTTATAATTAGTAAACAATTCTATTTTTTTGTTTACTAATTATTTAAATAATTTAAATTAAATTATTTAAATCATGATTTAAAATTTTGAAAAATTTCTATCCAGAAACACTATTGCTGTTAATATTATAAGAAGCTTTTTACATGATTTATTTTTTTTCCCCATTATACTGGGTGTCCCATAAGTAAAGGGGAAAAAGTTTATTGTAAACCTCAAGAGATACAAAAAAATGTATATAAACTTGAAGCAGTAATAAAAAAAAGTTAAATTTAAGTAATTAACAATTATTTCATTGTAAACTAGATAAACTTAACTTCAAACAAAAGTCAGGTTTGTCATTGTTAAAACCATTTAAAGAGGACTTTTGAGCAGCTAATAGTTAAGCGTTTGTTGTAAGTATTTGTGGTCAAAACATGGCTACTTTTTGGTGACAGGACATCAAATCACAATTTTTTTTACTAAACTTGATTAATATGGTCTTAAAGCTTATTAAAGAAGGAAATTTTTTCAAAAGTGGTGTATCTGTAGAATAGTTGGAAGGTCATAAAAATAAATCACAAAAATACATAATTTTTTTAAAAATCAGAGTATAGCTTAATTTAGCCGTTCAAAAGTCCTCTTTGAATGGTTTTAACAATGACAAACACTAATATTTTTTTAAATAAATTTTGTCTAGTTTAGTTTACTAGTTTACTTTGAAACAATGGTTAATTACTTAATTTTAACATTTTTTTAGTTGTCACTTCCTGATTCACAAAAAAACGCGACTAAGTTAAAAAGAAACACAAAACTTAAGTTTTCTTCTTTTCTGTGGAACATTAGGCTATTGTTTTAGCTCTTATGGTCTACTATTAACTCTTTAAATTTTTCCACATATTTACGGAACATCCTGTATATCCTGAAAGATCTTGTACACACATTTCTTTAGTCTCACTCATCCATATTCTGTAAAAGTTTCTAGAATATTAACAATAACAAGAGTGTATTACTTTGAAATGGTTATATGACTGTACTGTGGTTGGGTGCTATGCATTAAAACATATTCCAGGTGTACAGTACAGGTACGAAATAAACTAATTTTTGCTAGCCATAGTATGCATGTTAGGGATGCCACTCTATAGTGGGCCTTTTTTTTTTCTACAGAAACTGACTAAACTTCACTAGCCCACATATTTTGTCAATCCCCGATCATGAACCTATTTAATGCTCCTATGTTTAAGTGATTTTTTTTACTATGTTTTCGACTGTTAAATTTTTTAATGATTTGGTGTTTATTCCTGGAATATATATTTCTAGGTTATCCCAGTTGACAAATTGATTAAAGGGAGATTTCAGGATAATTTTGAATTTCTCCAATGGTTTAAAAAGTTTTTTGATGCTAATTATGATGGTCATGAATACGATCCTGTTGAAGCTCGGGGTGGGATTTTATTGGGTAGTGGTGTTAATGAAACAGCTGGATTTACAGCTCCAGCTCCTCCAAGACCACCAGCAAACAGGCGAATAGCCTCTGGTAACAATAAATGCACTGATGCAGACATTTCATTATACATATATTTTTTTATGCATAATGCACTATTTCAAAGGATGTTTTAGATGCTTATATTATATACTATATATCATTTCGAAGTAGCTGTAAGCTTATTTTTGAGTTTAGTTCATTGTAGTGCATTTTTGGTTGTTACTGGAAAATCGCATGATAAAATTAAATTAATTTACATTTGCAATTTAAAATACTTGAACAAATTTATTTACTGCCACAACCACTTGAAATTTATGTGTTGATTAGTCAATTATCTACCCAGCATGCTATTTTAAAATTTGTTATTATTTTTCCACAATCACTTGTTCAATGAATGCCAAGAAATACAAAAATAAAAATGTGTTAAGCTGATCTATAATCATATTTATGATTTGAATTCATGCTAATTAAAATTTTACTTATTAATGTGTTTATTATTGATTTGTTTTCAACAATTCATTTGGTATTTGTTTTATTTATTTTGCAACTTTTGATTTTTTATACCCATTAAAATTTGTGCAACCAGTAGTGTTTTTATTGATAGTCATTGCATAGCTATATATTTGTGAGCAATTTTAATGATCATCTGTTGTACATTATTCATTACATTACTACATTATTACTTGAAATTGCCTTTGTTCATGGTATGATTCTTGAAAATATTTTCCGACACTTATCTTAAAATAGATCATTTGTTGACATAACATTTTACTGTCATAAAAATCATTGTTAAACTGAATTATATTTCTGTCCTCCTAACAAATTAATTATTCAGTCAAAGAATCAGTATTAATATTCTTTTTACATAAACCAGATTAGGTCTTAGTGTAAAACGTGCTTGATAAATTAAGCCTTTTCCACACTATTGGACACGTTGCATGATTTTTTTCTCAGAGTTCATATCTAGGCATTTGTCTAGATATACTGGATAAACTAAATGGCATTTCATTGCGAAACCTGAAATTATATTATGTCTGGTGGTGACCTGTTCAGAATGTTAGACATGTGCAACTTGTCTCCACAGTGTGGACACTTGTAACAAGACTTCATTCTCATGCTTTTATTTTAAAAAAAAAATTGTTATTTAAAATCATAATTTTTTATTAAATGGATTAAGTTATATATTTATTAAAATAAAATTTGAATTTTTAATTTTTAAAGGCAAACCAATTGGAAATAGTTGTTATAAAATTTCCATTATCACTTTTTTCCACATTCGTCTCACAAGTAACAATGTTGTCCGGAATGTTTTCCATTTTTGAAAACAATGTTTTCCGCATTCATCTCACAAGCAGCAATGTCATCCATGATTGAGAAGCGAGAATAACTTGACATAAATAAATTTTGGTGTGGAAGCTATTCCAAGACAATAAACAGTTTCAGAACACAATTTATGGACAATGTTTAAAGGTCGCTCATTGATTTATTGTGATGTTTCTAGGGTTGACTAGGCTTTTATATCTAGACATTAATTACAATAAATGAAATAGTTTAGTTTTACTAGAATATTTATAGTATCCTGTTTCAAAGATTAAAATCATCATTGGGAAGGTATTTATTAACTTTATTTTTAATGAAGAAGCTTATGAGGGCTGTGGTCAGAAGTTGGTTAAGTGTATTCCTATGAATGTTTGACTTGAGCTACCTTAGAACTGTAGATTCATTTTGTTATTTATGTAAACATAGTATTTAATGTTTTTTTTTATATATACAACTGCTTTAGATAAAACTTTTACAAGAAAACTAGAATGTTTACTGTAAATAAAATTTTCTAGATACTATTTATAGTC